CCCAAGGTCCCCTCCCCCAGCCCCTCGTCCCCCACCCCTAGTACTTACTAGCTTGGAGTCAGCTGCAGCGCCCTGCTGCAGCCACTGGGGACTGCCCAAATCATCAAAGCTCTCAATCTTTTCTGAAGATTCAGAGAGCTTTGAATCAATTCAGACCTTTAAATTGGTCCCCTGATTCGATTTGGATTTGGAGATTTGGCCACTGAATTAGGCCGAATCTCCTCTCAATCGAATCACCATCCAAAGCTTTGCACAGCCTTACTCTATGGTATCCTTTTCTGTCACATGATTAGCCATTTCCTGATTGGGTAAATGAAACATTTCTTGAATAAGGAAGATAACTAATAAGGAATCACCCACTATAAACGTCTGTTCTTCAGCTCATTAACCATTATGGTGGAAGTTCAGGACCACTAAGAATTCACAAGCATTTTCATGGGCATTTCACATTTTTCCAAATGTGCATGGTTAATGAACGCCTACTCAGTGAACAGAACTCAACATTTGCTTTGCAGGAATAATATGTGAATCATTTATTTGGCATTCAGCCTATTCTAGAGGATGCACACTGCAAGCAGCCCAAGTCACACAGCTTGGACAACAGCAAGTGATCACAAGGAAATATAGTATTAAGCCACAAGGAACAATTACACTCATGTAGTCAGAGTTCCTGCAAAGAACAGGCCAGAAATATTTCCCCAAGAGTCTGCAGGATTGATGCTCATCTTCTATTCAATGGATTTGTTCTCTTGCCACCCCACGGTTCAAGCAGAACTTGAATTACTCTGTATTCTAGAAGTTTTCTATCCCCTTGCTGAAGGTCCTTGCATATGCACAATCACAGTCCATATCTTGGACAGTGTTCTCCACCCCTCTTTCAATATAATATATGTAGCTGAATAATTATGCTACAGCCCCATCTTATAGCAATGGGGTCTACAGACTCACTCTATCCCATCTTGACAATACTCATGGGGTAATGATGGTACCATGTCCACCACTGACACCTCTGAGGCCTATGGGCCCTGTCAAAGGAAGCTGCTTACCATGTTCCCCCATCACACGTTCAACGAGGGCCTTGAGTTTAGCTTTGCACTCAGAGAAGTCTTCAACCTGGACCTTGGTCCCCATTGCCAGGGGTGGCTGATTCTGGAGCTCCTCCAAGGAATTCTTGATGAAGGGGTGCAAGTCCATTACCTCCTGGTCACATGCATAGTGGTGCATCTTTTCCACGAGCTGCTCAGCTGCCCCCATCCTCATGAACATGGCTCTCAAGTGTTGCATCTTCCCCTTCAGGTCCTGGTGCCCCTCATGGTGCTGCCTCTCTGCCCTCTTCAACAGCTCCTCCCCCTTCTCCTGGATCAGCTTGACCATCTCCTCTACCTTCTTAAGGATCAGCTCCCGAGTTTCCTTCCACACCTGGTTCAGTTGGTTGTCTTTGCCATGGAGGTTGTTGCAGGCACTTTCATAGTGGCTCTTTTTCTGCTTCAGCTCTCCGGTCAAGCTGCACAGCTCCTTCTGCCTCCGCAGGATCTCTGCCTTGATATCACAACACTGATCCCTGTGTTTGCTATCCAGGATGGCACAGGTGCAGCACTTCGGCTTGCAACAGATGCTGCAGTAGATGCTGTGAAAAAAAGCACAGTTTGGAACACTCATTTGGATTTGGATTAGTGCCTGCAGCTGGGGTGGGCTCTGCCTCTGCAGCCTGGGTGAGGACAGTGTCCCCCTGCCCCAGCAGCCCCCACTTTGATATTGTCATCAGGGACTGGGGGCTAGGAGATCCATATCTCTCAGCCCAAGCTCCATAGTCATGGGGCCCAGGCTGAAAGATTCTTAAGGAGTCCGTCCACACGTGCATTGACATGGAAGCAGATTTGCTGCTCAGGGTATCAGTCTGCTCCTGCCCCCTGCTAGCTCTGCACTGGCCTCCTGCAGCAGCCAAGAGGCATTCTAGGCTTCCCCTGGGTGCTAGCCCAGGGGCTGGCATGGAGTACTGGACCAAGAGACAGGTGTCTCCTGGCAGGGGCTAGGCCATTGCTCCCTCACCCCGGGAGCTGCCTGCTGCTGGGGTAGGCTGGGAGATAATAATGGCCTACCTTAACCCTGTAATTGTGATTGTGGAGTGGGGGCTGGGAGCTCCCTGCTGCCAGGGCAGAGGAAAATTGTCCCTGCCTGGGCTCCAGTTGCAGAGCCCGCCTCAGCAGTAGGCAGCTCCCAGGGGCAGGGAACAATTTCCTAGCGCCCACCAGGAGACAACTGTGTCCTGGTTTGGTGCATCCTGCCGGTCCCTTGGCTAGCACTCAAAGGCAGCCTAGAGCTCCCCCTGGCTTCTGCAGGGGGATGGTCCAGGGCCAGTGGGGGAGGAAGCGGACTGCTGCCATGAATAGCAGATCTGTTCCTGTGTCCCTACATGTGTAGATGCCTGCCTGGGATGGGTTTGCTCTTGAGAAAATTGCTCTAGAGTCAACCCACCGCAGAGAATTTGCATATGTAGATGTCCCCAATGAAAATCCTTTTCCTCCCCTCTACCCCAGGCACATTTTTTACTAGGAAGACATAACATGGCTACTTAAGAGTCATTCATCTTCGCTACAAATGCTTTAAAAATCTGGTGGGCCTCTTTCCTGATTCACTTTTTCCACTCTATGTGGCTTTACTAAAGCAAATAGGCCTCATGACTTAGCTGGTATAAATCCCAGCAGCTGATCAAGGAAGACTAATATATGCCAGCTGATTGTTGGTTTTACTGTGATTTTTCACCAAGCAATGTCTGTGCAGGTGTGACAGGGGGCTGTCCCGAGGCCAGTTCCAATGTTGGCCTGCCCACCTGTCTAGGGCAGTCCACCCACCTAACTCGCCTGCTATGCCTTTGATATAATTCTAAAGTAGTTGTTTATAAGGTGGGAGGCTGCCCATTTTACTGCCCAGTGCCAAGGATGTAATACACGGCTCGGTATTGGCCCTACACAATGTCCCATGCCTTGCAGGTGGCATCACTAAATGGCTCCAGCCCCACAATGGGCCTCACCCTATGCCCGCTGGCTGTTCTGACCCCAGCTGGATCCCTCCTCCTCAGGCAGTATAATCTCCGCCCTCATTCTGGGCTGCAAAACTTTCTAAGCCCTTTTCCCTTTCAGTAGTGGCCCCCTCCGGGACCTTTGGCCAGACAGGCCTTAGCCTCCCTTCTAGGCCAGTCGGGACTCTAGGCCTCTAGCCATCCCTTGCAGCGGGCACTCTGGCCCTTCAACCAGTCTGGTCCTGGCTGCAGCATGGGCCAGTCAAGGTTATTTTGCATAGGATATTGAGCTGCTCACCCTCCCTCTTTCATACGGGTCCACCTTCTTGGGCCCCTCCAAACACTGTGCCACATAGTTATTCTGGACCCCTCCTGGGTCTGTTGTTTCACTCTCACTTGGCTCACTCGCTTTCTACTTAAGCCAGCCTGTGCGCAGTCCTTCAGGCCCCATATGCAGCCTCCTGTTTTCTCACCTGCCCCCTCACTGGGGACACTACACCACCCCCTCACTGGAGTTACTAGGCCTTACACCCCTTAGTCCTCAGGTGCCCAATGACATGCCTGAACCCCTCGTCTGTCCCCTCTACGGGGTAACCCACCAGGTTGTGGGGGCTGAGGCTTTCTGGAGCCCCATCCTTGCCTTTCACTGGGTAGGCACTGGTGTGGCATTTCCTGGGGATCACCCCACCATAGGCAGTCCCACCACACCATCCAACCCCAGCAGGGTGTGGTTTTAGGTCATTCCCCAGGACCAGGACCCTCCTCCATCCCCACAGTCCCTACCCTGCCCACCAGGTGTTCTGGGAGCAGCAGCTCCGGCCAGGAGACGTTCACCCTTTGGCTCCCCAGTTGCAGCTACCAGCTCTGCACCTCAGGGCCTGGTCTTATACCCAGGGTGCCATCTTGCAGTCATGTGACTGCCTAATTAGGCTTCCTCATAGGTACTGGCTGCTCCACAGCCTGCTCAAACCTCTTAAAGACGCAGGCACAACCTGTGCTCTGTCCTCGATTTCAGAAGGGCAGACTTTAACAATGTCAGGAGTCTAGTTAGAAAGACCCTCTGCAACCACCAACTGAAGGATTTGGGGGCTCAGGAGCAATGGTGCCTCCTCAAGGGAGCAACCCTCACTGCTCAAAAAGAGGCCATTCCCATGAGACCAAAGTGGGAAAGGAGCCAAGAGATCCTCTTGGCTCAACAGGGATGTTAGAGAACGTTTCAAAAGGAAAATGGACACGTATAGGCAATGAAAAAAAGGATCAGCATCCAGAGAAGAGTTCACTCATATAACCAGGGTCTACAGGTATGAAATACAGAAAGCCAAAGCACACGTGGAGATCAAGCTAGCATCCGAAAGTAAGGACAACAAAATGTCCTTCTACATGTACATAGCAGGAAAAAAAAAATTGAGCTCCACTGTGAGACCCCTACTGAATATGGAGGGGCAACCCATGAAAAGGTGGAGCTCCTAATTGGTTACTTCACATCGGTATCCCAGAAAGCTAACAGTAGCTGTGCACCCGTCCAGAGGCCCAGGGAATATGGGGAAGTTAACAGACAACATAAAATCAACCCTGACCAAGTGAGGATCCTCTTAGAACAATTGGACATTTTCAAGTCCGCTGGGCCAGATGATGTACATCCAAGAGTCCTAAAAAACTGGCTGAACTCATAGCAGGGCCTCTGGTAAAGTTATTTGAAAAATTGTGGAACTCAGGAGTGGTCCCAGACAACTGGAAGAGGGGCAATGTAGTACCCATCTTTAAGAAAGGGAGGAGGGATGAGCCTGCAAACTATAGTCCGGTCAGTCTGACTTTGGTCCTAGGAAAAACTTTTGAAAAAAATGTTACGGAGGTCATCAATCACAAACCAGTAACTGACAGGATATTAAGAAACAACCAGCATGGCTTTGTGGAGGCTAGATCGTGCCTAACAAGCCTGGTATCCTTTCATGACCAGGTAACTAACCAGCTGGACATGGGGCATGAGGTAGACATCATTTACCTTGACTTCAATAAGGCCTTTGACTCTGTCTCCCATGAAATTCTCTCATTTAAACTGGAGGGTACTGGCCTGGACCAGCCTATAGTGAGGTGGGTGGATAACTGGCTCAGAGGCCAGTCCCAGAGAGTTGTGATTGATGGGACAGACTCTTCCTGGAGGATTGTCTCCAGCGGTGTCCTACAGGGATTGGTGCTTGGACCCATGCTTTTTAACATATTTATTAATGACTTGAATGAAAGGGTGGAATACTTCATGATTAAGTTTGCCAGCAATACCAAGCTGTGGGAAAATGCGGACACACCAGAGGATAAGGCAAGGATCCAGGATGACCTGTGTGGAGCCACCCACCTCACTGTGCCTGACCACCTACCAAGCTCTAAGTGCCTCCCCAGGGGCACCACAGGTCTGGCCGACCCCCTTCCTGGAGCAGACCTGCAAGCCTTGGGGTAGCGCTGCCACCATCCAGGGGTCTGGACTGTTTCCAGACCCTGTACCTCCTGGGGTACACAGGCTTTGTAGCCCTCGAGGGTGCTTGACCCACTGTAAGAACTTGGGGTGCTCCCTTTAGCCTGCAACACAAAAAAGTAGCCTCCCTTAGCCAGCCGGACCAAGGGAATACAAAGGCAGGCCCCTATCCCTCTCCCAGTCAGTCCACCACGCTTGGTACAGTGGAGACATTTATTGGTTAAAGAGGGAAGGCTTGGGGAAGGGTACAGGATAGAGATGTATCACAAAATAACCTTAGAGCAAACAGTGTGGCTAGGTAGCCTTTGAACCCACATTTGCATTATAGCAAGCTATATATCTAGATAAGTTTTAGGTAGTTTACTCACAAGTATCATCCAGAGGCTGATTGAGCTTTCATCTCAAGGCAGGCAGTTCATGCTGTGTCCAGGAGTTTCAAGAGAGATCCCCATCTCTCTGCCTGGTTAGTTAGTCACATGTTCTCCAGTATGGCTCTCTCCCCCACTCCTGGGCAGTCTTAGCTTATATAGGCCTTTTGACATCACCTTTCCAGGTCCTATCAGGGCAGGTGTTGTTTGAGGCCAACCAACTAATTCAAAAAGCATCACTGGTCACCTGGTAAAGTGAGCCCTACCCCCATGCCATGAGGTCAGTTCTAACACAATAGAGAGGTGGAGAGAGTGTGGCCCCCCCCCCCCCCCCCCCCCCCCCCCCCCAGTTACCTGCAGGGTCTTGCGTCCGGAGGAGCAGGTTCCCCCTCTCTCATCCCAGGTTACAACTCAGGGTTACATGAAAAGGATGGGGTGAGGGCTGCCTGCCCACCACAGTGACCATGGCAACCAAATTGACAGGTAATAAAACAACAGCACAGAAAAACCTGATAACAGAGTTTGGGAAGAGACTAAGATGGCATTCTGCCACAGACCCGTGCTTTTTTACATATTTATTAATTGTACTCAGCACTGGTCTGTACCTACAGGGAGCGGATCAGGAAAGCCAAGGCTGCATCTGAGCTCCATCTGGCCTCACATATCAAGGATAACAAAAAGTCCTTTTTCAGATATGTAAGGAGTCGGAAAAAAGGCAAGGGTAACATTGGA